CTGCTCTAGCCACTGCGCCACCTAGCTGCCCAAAATTGGTCTTCTTGATCACCAAATCCAGTTTTTTTTTTCACACCTCAAAGTTCTTGATTTCATCTCTTCCTGTCATCTTCAGCAGATACCTACCCTTCTCTCTAATCTTCAGGCATTCCTATCTGATCATTGTAACACTGCCTACAAAGGATATTCATCCCATCCTTAGGTAACAGAAGTATGGTAATAATAACAACAACGACAATAACTAGCATTGACATAGCACTTACTATGTGCTTGATACTATGCTAAGCACTTTACAATTTTCATCTCATTTGATCCTCACAACAACCCAGGGAGTTCATGGAAACTATTATTATCCCCATTTTACAGATCAAGAAACTGAAACAAACAGAGGTTAACTGACTTACCCAAGGTCACACAGCTAGTTAAGTGTCTGAAGTCAAATTTGAACTCAGGTTTTCCTGATTCTAGGCTTGATACCTATTCATGGAACTACCTAACTGCCTGCCTGGTACCTCTACAGAGTGCTTCTGAAGGTGCCTTCCTAAGTGGAGACACTGGGAAACCTGCTTCCAGCAGAGTTGTGGTGACATGGAAGGATAGGGCCTTCGAGAGACTATGGAACATTTGTAGTTATTCTATTAACCAAATGGTTGAGAAAAGACTTGCTGTGTAGCTAGAACTTGGAGCATCTTCAAAAGGGCTTGAATCAACCTTGCCCTAGTCTAGAGAAGAATTGAGGCCTTTTTTCCATGTACCTTGAGCTCTGTTTATTTTTTTCCATTCTTAGCAGAGTAGCTAAAAACTTATTGATTCAACCTAATGTTAATTTCATTTTCCAAAAGATGGAGGAACCAACAAAGGAAATATATATTCTAGATTTTATTTTTACTAACAATGAGGAAAGGGTTGCTGTGGGGTGGAAGTGATAGGAATCTTGCTGAGAACTATCTCTTAGATTGGAAAGCCAGGCTTAGCTTATGAATAGGTATAAATATATGCACAGGTATTAATCTTAGATTTGGGAAGAGCATATTTAAAAGGGTTCAGAGGAAAAAATCAACCCTGAAGGGGTACATAGGAAACTCAAGAAAGCAAAAACTGAAACATTTCTGATGAGGAAGAAAAACCCAAGTTGTTGTGATTTAGAAGTTGATGAACTGAAGACTCACCAGCCTGCTCAGATTTAAAAATATACATATCCACAGGATGAAAGCAAGGGCAGATTAGATAAATACAAAATTGTGTTATAGCCACTAAAAGTGTCACACTGAGCTCATGTCCTGTATAAGCTCAGGCTGGTGAGCAAAGCTAAGGACCATAAAAAGGAGTCTTGAAAAAGCTATTGGGGGCTCTTTTTGTAGTAGCCAAGAACTGGAGACAAAGTATGTGCCCATTGATTGGAGAATAACCAATTTGTGCTGCATGAATGCAATGGAATGTTACTGTGCTTTAAGAAAAAATATAATGAGAGAAGCATGGCAAGACATATGAACTGATGTGAAATTAAGTATGTCAAACCAAGAAAACAATATAAACAATATCTATAACAATGTAAATGAAAATAAAAAAACAATAAAACTATCACAATTGAAAGTTATGAAATGATGATAACCAAGCTTGGTCCCAAAGAAGAAATACAAGATGTCACCTCCCCACATTCTTTGCAGAGGTAGAGGACTATGGGTTTGGAACACTACATGTAATGTTGGACTTTTCTGATATGTTTGTTGGTTTTCTTCAACTGTTCCCCACCTCACCTCCCTCTTTTTTATTCTTCCTTATTACCACTGACTCTCTGGGAAGAAAAGGGGAAAGGGACACATTGGAAAATATAGGTGATTTAAAAACAAAAGAAATCAGTACAATATGTTTTTTAAGCTACAATAACAAAAACAACACAGTAAAAAACAGCTTAGAAAGCTTTAAGTGAATGGATGATCAATACAACGACCATTATTTCAGAAAAAAAATGATAAATCTCACTTGCCCATTCACCATCTAGCTACCACCATCTAGCTACAAATACCATTGTATTTGCTTTTGAGCTATTAGAAGGATTGAAAGCATAGGTATAAAAGTATTTTCCCTTAAAATGATGAGAAGCATCTACCTAAAACCATCAGCAAGCATTATTTGTAACAAGGATAAGCTAGAAGCCTTTCTAATAAGATCAGGAGTAAAACAAGGATGCCTATTATCACCCTTATTGTATTAGAAACATTAGCAATAGCAACAAGAGAAGAAAAAGAAATTGAAGGAATCAGAATGAGCAATGAGATAATAAGACTATCTCTTTTTTGCAGACAATATGATGATATACTTGGAAAATCCTAGAGATTCAACTAAAAAGCTAGTTGAAACATTTAATAATATTAGCAAAGCAGCAGGATATAAAATAAACCCTTTCAAATTATCAGCATTTCTATATATCACTAACAAAACCCTGTGAGAAAAGACAGTCAGAGATATCATCTATTTAAAATAACCATAGACAGCAAAAATACCTGGGAGTATATCTGCCAAAACTAACCCAGGAACTACATGGACATAATTATAAAATACTTTTTTTATGCAAATAAAGTCAGGTTTAAATAATTGGAGAAATATTGTTTGTAGGTAGGCAGAGCCAATATAAAAATGACATTTTTTACGTAAATGAATCTATTCAATGTCATCCCAATTAAATCACCAAAAATATTTTATTGAGCTAGAAAAAATAATAAAATTCATTTGGAAGAACAAAAGGTCAAGAATATCAAAGGAATTAATGAGGAAAAAATGTAAAGAAACAAGACCTAGCAATACCAGATCTTAAATTGTATTATAAGGCAGTAGTTATCAAAACTATCTGCTACT